CCAGTCGATTCCCCCCCGCATGGCACGACGCGTGGACAAGGTTGGGGAAATTGCCCCATGTCAATCCATCCCGATCCAAAACACTAGTTTAACCCCGTCTCTTAAGTCGTTTCTCCTGATTGTTGAAAGTCGATCGCCGACGTCGACTCCAAATGAGGCCGATGCCGTCCACCCACCTGGAAGACCCCAGAAAGGGCTTCGGAGTGACCAAGCAGGTATCGATGATTCTGCGCGCTTGATAAATGGCGGACTGCTTTCCCGAACACCACGAAGAATCCAGGAGAGGACGTCCACCCGAAAACAGCCATACCGGAAACTATGCCATGAGGACTACGCGGCACGCCGCCCCCAAAAGCCGATGCATGATGTGCGTGGACCGGCACGTGATGAAATACATCGGCGATATCCGCGATCATGGCGTAGATGTTGTACCCTGGGTCAGCGTTGTGCCAATTTTAATTGCAATAATTTCATTGAAAAAATTGTCCATCCCAATGACAATTTTTTATTGCACCTCAATGTGATAATTGTATTGGTGGCTGCAACGAGCTGGGTTGTGCAAGCCCCAGTCCACCTCGGTTCACTAACCGGTCACCGCAAAAGCAATGGTGGACGTCAGGTCTGAGTCATAACGCAGCGTACGGCTCCTGAATTCACTCTCGGTTAGCTCGCCCAGCTCTAAGCCATGGCGCTGCCTAGCCGGATCATCTACCAAGCCTGGTTCCAGCCTGATGTAGTCGACGGCGGATACCACCACTGTATCTGTGGCAAAGTTTTATCACCCAGGAAAATATAGAGGGGGGGGTTATCTCACACTCGAATGTCGCACCTGAAAGGCGGCATATCAGGGGGCTACGAAAGGTCTCCACTAATGCGAACGAACACTCCAGCCGAATATAACTGCGTTTCTCAGCGTGGACAAGAACGATTCGCTAAACAAGTGGGCCAACTGGATAGTCATGAAGTTTCTACCTATCAGTTTTTGTGAAGACCTTCACACTCGTGCATGTACTAAGCTGCCACGCGTATCGAGACGTACACTGAAGGTTCACATGTTTGCGGTCATGAAGACGGTGGAAGAGTATATCCGGAAGCATCTCCCATACTCCTTTGGCCTCGTTTTTGACGGCTGGACTACGGCTGGTGTCCACTACGTTGGGCTTTTCGCTGTCTTTACTGCAACGGACTCTTTACCTGAAGGCCAAGTGCTGCTCGCCCTGTCCCCCCTGGAAGATGAGAGTGATCTAAGTGCACAAAGTATGAGTGACTTCTTGGCTGACACGCTCTGTGAATTTTCGCGTCCCTGGGCTAGCGTGTTGTTCGTTGTCGGGGATAATTGCTCGGTGAACCAGTACCTCGGAGATAACGGTGGCATTCCTTTTGTCGGCTGTGCTAGTCATAGGTACAACCTAGCTGTTCAAATGTTTCTAGAGGATCACAAATACTTGATCAACAAGGCCAACAAACTCATGCTGAAGTTGTCAACAGTAAAAGGACGTGCGTGCTTGGCGTCAGTGACTGGTGTAAACCCAAAGATTAAGAACGAGACGCGTTGGAGCAGCGCAATGAAGATGCTGAAGCGATGTGATAAGCTGATCCCAGCTCTCCGGCAGCTGAGCACGAAAAACGCTGTAAAATGCGGTGTCGACAAGCTGATGCTATCAGCAGCTGAAGCCATGGAGGTGTCAGAACTGCTTAAGGATCTTCAAAAGCTGGACAGTGTGACGGTGGAGCTGCAGAGCGAGACACTTACTATGCTCGATGCGCGCGAGCTTTTCGAGCACACAATTGAGAGCTTCCCGTCGATGAAAAAGTACTTGAGTGCGAACGCTTCGATTGTCAATAACGCAGTATTTGAACGGGCTGTCGTCAAGCTTCAGTCGGGCCGGAAACTGACTGCTGCTGAGAAGGCAGCCTCTGTTCGACTTCTTTCTCCCATAACTAACGACCTAGCAACAAATGACAACAAGGAGAGCAGTAATGACGAAGACAACATCTCTTTTGCGAAGCAGGCCTTGAAGCGCCGCCGCCTGACAGGACCCAAGGAGATGTACATCGACACCAACTTCATTCCACCTACATCCAGCATTTGTGAGAGACTTTTCTCTCTGTCGAAGCTCTTTCTCACTGATCAGCGTCGAGCATGATCTCTTCGAGCTCGTGAATGTCGGCGACTCGAGCGTGGTAAGACTCTCCGCCAGCTTGTCATCATCGCATGTTGCCAGGAACTGCTGTACGTGTTCTTTCGCGTCACGACCACTCTTCTCAAAAATGTAGACGGGCGGTCCGAGCGTAGCCATTCAGCCTGTTTATGTAGTCGCACAGATGTTCATTACGTTCCCGCTTGGCGGAGTAGTAACGCGACAGTGCCGTCTGAGTGAACTGCGAGCAGTAGTAGCGGATGAACGCATCGCTCAGCTTCCACTTGCGCTTCGTCTTCTTCGGAAGTTGACGGAACCAATGAATAGCTCCGTCCCGGAGACTTAGCTCAAATGGAAAGAGGAACATCGCCACGATGAGAAATGGCGTTCCTCGGGAGGCGGAGCATCGCAGCAATGACGCTGTTGATCCTGCTGTCACGCAGCCCGTTGATAC